TGCTGGGGAATCAAGCTTAAGGAAAGTTCCTACATGCTACACAAGTACTCTGAGGCACATGTATCTTCAGTCCACTAGTATAAGTTTTTTGTTATTGTTTTGTTGGTAGTTTTTGTGTTTTGTTTTTATTTGGGTGGGTTTTTTTATTTATTTTATTTATTTATTTTTTTGAGACAACGTCTCCTTGTAGCCTCAGCTGGCCTAGAACTCACAGAGATCTGCCTGCCTCTGCAGCTGGGATTAAAGGCGTGTGTCACCATGCCCAGCCTTAGTTTAACATTTTAAGTGGAATGAATTACACTCATAATGTTGTGCAACCATCACCCCTTTCTTTCTATTTCTAAAAGTTTTTCATCATCTCGGAAAGTCTGTAACTGTTAAGTAGTAATTTCTCATTTTCTGTTTCCTCTAGGTTCAGGTTACCTCTAATGTACTTTCTGTCTCTAGGTACCCCCAAATAAGCAAAATCCTACAGTTTTTTTTTTTTTTTTGGTCTTTTTGAGAGAGGGTCTCCCAATAGCCCCAGCTGCCTGGAACTCACTAGGTAGACCAGGCTGGCTTTGAACTCATAGAGATCTGCCTGCTTCTGACTCCCAAGTACTAGGATTAAAGGTGTGTGCCACCACACCCAGCCAGAATTTGTCCTTTTGGGTCCAGTTAATTTCATTCACCAAATTATCTTCAAGGTTCATTCATGTTGTAGTGTGCATTAGAAATTCAATATGACTGAATAAAACATTGCATTGTGGGTTGGAGAGATGACTTAGCAGTTAGGATCACTGCTGCTCTTGCAGAGGACCTGGGTTAGGTTCCAAGGACTCATATGGCAGCTTATAATCTTCTGAAACTCCAGTTCCAGGGCTACACTCTCTTCTGGCATCCACAGGTTTGCATGCAGGTGGTGCACTTAGATACATGGGCAAAACACTCATAAAATAAAAATAAATAACTTTTTTTTTTGAAACAGTGTCTCACTGTGTGGCCCTGGCTGGCCTAGAACTCACCTTCTACACCAGGCTAGCCTAGAACTCACAGAGATCCACTTGCCTCTGTCTCCTGAGTGCTAGGATAGGTATGCACCACCACACCTGGCTAAAAATAAATAAATCTTTTTTTTTTTTGTCTTTTTGAGACAGGGTTTCTCTGTAGCCCTAGCTGGCCTGGAACTCACTATGTAGACAATACATTCATACGCATAAAATAAAAATAATACATAAAATATTAAAACAAAAATTTTATTCTACAGTAAATCAGATTTTGTTTATGCATTCTTCTGTTGATGGACACACCAGTTTCTTCCATCTTTTGGACATGTAAGGGATGCTGCAGTGAGTATGGTTTTATAAGGATTTGTTTGGGTCCTTGCTTTCAATTCTTTTAGTAAGTACAAGCCAAAGTGTTAGATCATATGATGATTGTCTGTTTAGCTTTATTTTTTAAGACAGGGTCTCTGTATAGCTTTGAATTTGCAACGATCCTCATGCCTCCATTTCCTGTGATTACAGTATGTGTCACCATGCCAGACCCATTAGCTTTTTTTAAATTACATTTTAAAAATGTATTTGTATTGCATACACCATGGCCTACATGTGGAAGTCAAAGGACAAGTTGCAGGAGCTGATTCTCTCCTTCTACCATGTGGGTTCCAGAGATCAAACTCAGGTCATCAGGCTGGGCAACAAGTGCCTTTATCCACAGAGTCATCCAGCAAGACCTTCTGCTTTTCTTTCTTTAAAAAATTTTTTTGAAATATACCATTTTGCCAGGCGTGGTGGCCCACAAAATGCCTTTAATCCCAGCACTCGGGAGGCAGAGGCAGGCAGAGCTCTGTGAGTTCAAGGCCAGCCTGGTCTACATAGTGAGGTCCAGGTAACCAGGGCTACAGAGAGATCCAGTAAAAAAAAAAAAAAGACCAAAATAAATAAATAAAAAAGAAATATACTGTTGTGATTCACTTCTCTTTTTCTTTTATATTCCCTTAGTGGTTACCATGAGTATTACGTGTGTGTGTGTGTGTGTGTGTGTGTGTGTGTGTGTGTGGTGTGTGTATGCATGTAGAGGCCTGAGGAGGTCAATGTTAGGCGTCTTCCTCAATGGCTACACATCTTATTCATTGAGGTAAGATCTATAACTGAACTAGAGCTCACCCACACAGTTAGCCTAGCTAGGCAGCTTGCTCTGGGGACCTCCTTGTTGCTGCCTTTACCATGCACACTGAGGTTACAGGTGGGCCAACCACACCTGCCAGCATTTATGTGGGTTCTGGGGGTCTGAACTCTGATCTCCATACAAGTACTTCATTCACTGAGCCATCTCCCAAACTTCACCAGCTTTCTTTAAAAAAGTTTTTTTCCTGTTTTTGTTGGTTTGGTTTGGTTGAGACAGGGTCTTCACTATACAGCCCTAGATGGCCTGAACACTACATAAACCAGATTGACTTTGGATGCATGGTGATCCTCCTGCCTCTTACTCTCTAGCCCCAGCTGGCCTGGAACTTGCTCTGTAGACCAGGATGGCCATGAACTCACAGAGATCTGCTTGCCTCTGCCTCCCAAGTCCTGGAATTAAAGGTGTGCACCACCACACCTGATGGTTCTTTCAAGATTTTTACCTCTGACCAGCGTGGTGGTTTGCTCCTTTAATCCCAACACTCAGGAGGCAGAGGCAGGTGGATCTTTGTGAGTTCAAGGCCAGCCTGGTTTATAAGAGCAAATTCCAGGCCAGCTGGGGCTACCAGGAGACTCTCTCAAAAAGAACAAAAAACAAAAAACAAAAAAAAAAAAACTTTTACCTCTCAGTAGTCCCAGAACTGGCAAGCTGAGAATCACAGGTAGCATTTCTGGAAATTCAATTCCCTCCTCCTTGAGGGTTGCTGATTTCTGCTTGTTAAGAGCACTTGTCTGTGGCTTTCCAAATGCTAGAATTAGAAGTATAAGCCTACAATACCTGGCCCATGACATTTTTTCAAAGTGCGTGTCCTTTATTGTGTGCACTCTGAAATTTCTGTTCCATTGTTTCTGAGGTCAATCAGTGACCTGAAAAAAACTACCTTAAATGGCCAGTGTCTAAAAGGGAAAAAAGGAAATATTGTTCCTTTAAATTCCCTGCATCTGGAAAGCCACTTTAGCTTGTGGGGTGGGGTAGCAGTGAAGGACTTTGAAACTGCTGAAATTTACCAGTTTCTTCATCAGACTCTCTCCTAGATGCTACAAAACAAACAAACAAACAAAACCAGGTGTGGTGGCCCACACCTTTGATTCCAACCCTTCAGAAGCAGAGACAGGAGTGTAAGGTTAGCCAGGGCTACAAAGTGAGACCCTGTCTCAAAAACAAAACCAAAAAAATCCTTTATGCATTTATTTACTTATTTTGTGTGCATGTATGTGTGTGTGTGTGTGTGAGTGAGAGAGAGAGAGAGAGAGAGAGAGAGAGAGAGAGAGAGAACAAGCAGGTGCCACAGTGCACATGTAAAGATCAGAGGAGAACTTTTCCAGGAGTTAGTTCTCCCCTTCTACCTTGTATTGACACAGGATCTCTCCTGTTTCTGCCACTAAACTGTATAATGGGCCTGAAAGCTTCCATCTGGCTAATTCTCCTGTCTCTGCCTCCCATTCTGCTTGTAGAGGAGCTGAGATTACAGATGTGCACCACTGCATCTGGCTTTTTACATGAATTCTCGGGATTTAACTCAGGTAGTCAACTTGCATAGCAAGTGCTTTGGCCCACAGAACCATCTTCCCACACACAAATTACTTATATAATGTAGAGGTCCTCCAGATAGGAAGCCATAAACTGTAGCGGGGGAAGTATTAGAGGAATGTGTGACTGTGTCAGGAATTCACCACCAATGTTTTCAGGAACTGTCATAATATTTGTCAACTTAAAACATTTTCTTTGTTTTGCTTTTTGAGATACCATCTAACTATGTAGCCCTGGCTGGCCTGGAACTCACTATGTAGAGCAGGCTGGCCTGGAACTCACAGAGATTACATGCCTCTGCCTCCCAAGATCTGAGATTAAAGGCATGCACAACCAGGCTCAGGTTTCTGTTTCTATTTTTGAGTTTGTTATGTTGAGCTTCTTTTCTAAAAGACTTTAAAAATATGCCTCAGGTCCAAATCAGCCTGGATTGCCAATGGTAGAAGGAATCAAAAGGAGTGAGGGGTCCTTTGAAGTGGTTTGACCTTCAGTCCTATCCTAAAGTCCTAGGAACAAGGGCCAATCAGGCACTAGAGTATGTGTGAAGTTGCCAGGAAAACAGGTGGCTAGGGCTAGCTCTAGACTGTTGGACTGAACTACAGTTGGGATCAGGCCAGAGTGGGGATCTCAGCAAGGAGCCTAGGATCTAGGGAATATCAACTCCTGGGGACCCCTGGAAAGGATCAGAGAAGGAAACCAGAGCCAGCTGCTTTCTCACAGCAGGACTGAAGTCATGAGTTCTCCTCTTCAGCCTCCCTGAGACGGTGACAAAGGCGGGGGAAACAAAGGAGTGGCTTCTACTCCACAGTGACTGAGGCCCCAGGGTTCTTCATCCCCACAAGATCTCTTGGGTATGGTTCCCATCCTCATCACTAACCCTCAACTCTTCAGGCCTTTCTTTCCCAGTCAGTATGCTGCAGAAGCCCAGGCACTCACTTGACAGAGGCCTTTCACAAGTTATCAACGTCTGCCTCACCAACATACATGGAGTACCAAACACAGCCTCTGATCAGACTGGGGCCTCCACCTGGAGTATTCTTTCAGACCGATTTCTCCACAGGACTCAGGCATGTTGTCGTCTCCTTCCTGGTAGCCCTCCCCAGACCACTGTCTGACCTAAGAGCCAGGACTTCCACCACTCTGTGGGTCTTCAGATACTGTCAGGCTGGAGGAGGGAGGGTGCTACATGGAGCTTCTCACAATGGGAAGGGTCCAGACAGTCACACAGACACACAGGCTGAAGTCCTGCTTAGGGTCTCAGTCCCTTCCACACCAATCAGAAAAGAGAAGCATGGATTGGGTTACCCAGACTGGGTGGGGGTCACTTTTATTTGACTTTGTTGCTGGGAGGCCAGTCGCTGCAGGTGGCCTTCAAGGTGGAGCAGGATGGCATCCAGCATGTGAAGGACCTTGAGGACTAGGGTGCGGTCTGAGATGGGAGGCTGCCGTTTCCAGTGTCTGCAGGCACTGGTGGTCACCTGTGGGTGCTGAGAACATAGGACCAGACTAAGAATGAATGAGGGTCCATGGGTACAGCAAGGGGCAGCGATGGAGCTAGGGAGAAGGGCTATGGGGCAGCGCCCAAAGGGGAATGAAAGAGAGACATAGTCACGGATCACTGTGGCTCTTCCAGGAGCTAGGTGGTCTGGAGGCCCATGGAGACTGAATGAGGAAAGGGAGAACTAAATGAGGACAGATGGGCCATGATACTGGCCCTGGGAAATGGTCAGGTTGTAGACAAGGGTTCCAAGAGATACAAGAACAGACTACAGGATGGAGGACAAGGTTAGGTAGGCCAATCCACAAGGCCATAAGCCAGGCTGATGGGGAGATGAGGAACAGGGAGGATATGGACCCCTGGGAAATGAGAAGAGGCAGGAGCTGAAGAGGACAGAGGGGTGCTGTGCTCACCTGACCCTTAGTGACCTGAACACGCCACCAGTGCAACATCACGCGGCTAAGGACCAGCATCATGGTGGTGGTGATCATGACTCCAGCCAAGGGGTAGATGCGGTTTCCTCCCAGGCCCATCCAGCAGCCAGGGCAGCCCAGGCTGCTCCTGCAACCATCCAGGCTGTTTGGCTGGCACCCCCAGGGCTGCAAGTCCAGCCCTACCTGGTACCAGAGCGGTCGTGACCAGGCATAACTCTGGGTAGGCATCACCAGCACAGCCAGTGCTGGTACTAAGAACAGTGTCCACAGCATGTCTTGGATACTACCAGAGGCCGGAACCTGGGTGCCTTGGCAACCCAGCAAACACCCCTCCCCCAAGAGCAGGCCCAGCTCTGAAGCAGCAGGTTCCAGGCAGGTCCATGGCCTTTCAGGATATGCCTGGTCCAATGATGGGGGATGGAGACTGGGGATGAAATGGCAGACCTGTGGCCTCCTGGGTCCCAATCTCTCAGTCAGCCCAGACATGAAGGAATTACCCTATGAACCAACTGACCTATCATGCCTCCCTAAATCTGAGCACACCACCCCCCTTGAGGCACATTGCTGCCTACCTGGGGTAGCAACACCCAGGCTGATAAACCAAAGTGCAGAAGAGCTGTTCAAAGCCTCCCCACCCCCAGCTGAGCCCCACTATTGGCACTGTGCAGAGTGAGCACTCAAAAGCTTGGCTCCCTTAAACGTTCCTGCTGCCTACTGCCCCTGCCTCACCCAGATCTCTCTGAACACTGGCACTTCCTTGTTCTAGGAGCATGCTTTCCCTTCTAGAAAGTCACCTTCTCAAGGTTGGAGTTTCAGCCCAAGTATCATGTGCTCCCAGAGCCCCCTCCTATGACTATATTGGTGACATAGTTCCTTCTCTCTAAGGAGACCCTATTTTCTTCAAAACCTACCTATAGCCACGTCTTTATTCCCAAAGCTGTAAACACACATCAGTTCCTTCTCTGCACCCAACCAAGGCCAACCTGACTGAATTTCTTTTTTTGTTGTTTGGTTGGTTTGGTTTAGTTTAATTTGGTTTGGTTTTTGAGAAAGGGCCTCCCAGTAGCCCCAGCTGTCCTGGAACTTGCTATATAGACTGGGCTTCCCTCTATCATACAGAGATCCACCTGCCTCTGCCACCCAAGTGCTGTGATTAAAGGTGTGTTTACCACCATGCCCAACATTGATTGTAATTTCTTGTTTGAGGTCTAAATCTGGCTCCACCTGAAAAGTCTTCCTTCAAAGTATTTACTAAGTATTCATTCCTGGTGTCAGCAGGCAGTGTCACAAAGAAAACAGAGCTCTGCCTTCTTGAACTGAGGTTTTCGCAAGAGCACAGATGACTTGTAAATACAGTGCCAGTTAAGGACAAAGGCCATGATAAAAATAGGGCGAGGCAAGGATGCCTGGGTGATTTGGAGGGCAAGGAGGCCCTGTCTACAGTAAGACCTTGCCCAGTGCCCAGCACAGAGCCTGGCACCTGCAGAGTATCTGATGAACAGAGATTCACATGTTAAGAACAGGTAATGTGAGCCCTGCATTATTCAGGTCTGCATTGTTCCAGGTGTTTGCTCAGTTAATACCCATCTGGTTTTCATTCTTCTACTGATCAGGAACACACCACTGACCCCACAGACATTCATCACTGGGTCAGCTGCCCATTAAGCCACACACCCTCTATTGGCATTTTATGCCAGAAACAGCCAGATCCTGACTGACAATGTTCTGCCAATCCCAAAGCTCTAATTCTATGTCAGATTAACTCATCATGCTTATGTTTAGATCCAGCAACAGCACCAGGGAATGGCTGCTGATACTTTGATGGGAATTTGGGGTTCACTGTGCATCCCTGGTAAGCACTGACTGTATATTGCATCATATCAGGTACCCATGAGAATGGACTGGTCCTGAACAACAGCTTTGATTCCATCTATTTTCTCAGCTAGGAACTAAAAGTCTGTGTGGAACCTTGAGCTTGTAATGTCCCCACCCTCTGGCCCCATAACTGTCCTGCTCCTGCATGCTCTCTGCTTCACCCTGACATCCCCAAATCTTACACTGATGTTCTGTTTATCTTGGGGGCATATTGGGAGTCAGGCTGTAAATCACCTGACACCCCAGACAAAACCCACCATGACACTGCAGAGCCTGAAGTTGGACAGACATACCTTTATTCCCAAAGTTGTAAACATACATCCATTCCCTCCCTGCACCCAGCCAAGGCCAGCCTGACTGCAATGTCCTACCCCAGGCCTGCAACACTGAACTTGGAGTCCCAAAGACCTCCATCCCTGAGTTGTATGTTTGTGCATGTACATGAGGGGAGTCCTGGGTGGCACCTGGCGATGTCCCAGAGCCAGGGCATTTCAGGAGGGTGACCTGTCACAACCCCCAGAGGTAGGCAGTGTCAGCAGCATAATCAGAGTTTGGTGGCCTAAGTGGGCAGGAGGAGAGGTTTCAGTTAGTGTCCAAAGGTTATATCAAGCCCTCTAGCTTGAGACAGCACCCCCACCAAAAACAACTTCATTCTAAGGCAGACTGGGAAGAGCAATCAGTTCATAGGGGCCAGATGGACTTCCTGGAGTTGGGGTCAGGGTGGGGACAAGCAACAGATTAACAAAAAGTCCTCAGTGGGCCATGAGAGCTTACCGAGACAGGGCTGTTGGGGCCAAATTTTGAGTGTTGGAGGGCAAAGGTCACAGCATCATGGACAGAGGCAAAGAGGTGCTGCTTAGTGATGGATTCGTCAAAGAAGTGTCCAGCCTCGAGCTGGGTGACCACAGGGCCTGTGGGTAAGGAGCAGTCCTAACACTTAAGACCATCAGGAACCCCAGGTCTGAGGCACCCCTAGACACCTTTGAGAAATCCCTGCCACCCTGGGATTTCTCTACTTACAGTTAGATACCCAAGTCACTCCTGAGTCTGTGTGCTGGGCTTGTACCCAGAGGTCAGAGCAGTGTGTCAGATGTTATGTTCTATCAGTCTTAACCTTAGTCCTTTGAGATAGGGTGTCCAGCCAAGCCTGACTGACCAGCAAGTTTTTTTGGGTTCCATCTGTCTGTACCCACCAAAGGCTGGTGTGATGGGGCACGCACAGCCAAGCCTGTTGGGGTTTTTTTGCCCCCGATCTTTTAAGACAGGGTCTCCCTGCAACCCCAGCTGGCCTGGAACTCACTATGCAGACCACGCTGGCCTTGAACTCACAGAAATCTGCCTGCGTCTGCCTCCAGAGTGCTGGGACTAAAGGCTTGCACCACCACGCCCAGCTTCTATGCCTGGTTTTTTACATGGGTGCTGGGGACTTGAACTCAGGTCCTCATACTTAGGACACCATCATTCCTACCCACTGAACCATTTCCCCAGCATCACTCCCAGCTCTTGACTCCTGTCTCCCAAGACATCTCTGACCTCTATTTTTAGAAAAAAATATTCCTTGTGCTGCTGGACAAACCCACTGGACAGAAGAGTCCCACCCTCTGCTGAGATCATTCTTGCTGTGCCCACTCAACGCACTTTGGCAGGCCGCAATGTACACCTCCACCTCGATCTCCTGGAAGTCATGGAAAATCTGCAGCAACAAAGTGGGCTGAGCTTAGATGGGGCAGCAGTTGGACGAGATTTAGTGGGGAGCTCAGTGGGCTTAATTTGAGACATCAGAAGGCTCAGAGTGCTTTCTCAACACAAGGGTCAGTGTGGAGGGTTTTGGGGCCCTGGCCAGCCCACAAGCCCTTACGTTCTTCAGGCTCTTAATGCACACAGTGTCCACAAAGGAGAGGGTGCTCAGGTCCAGGACGAGGCTATGGAAGCCTGGCTGAGGCAGACCCAAGGACTTCAGTGTGGTCACGTTTGGGGCCTTGACATCTTCTGGACTGTTGGCTGCTGCATTCTCTAACTCATCCCTTCGGTGCACCTGCAGGGAGGCAGATGTGCTGAAGGGTCACCATGAGGGGGTGAAGGCAGAATAAGCATGCTGCACAGGGACACACAGGTCAATCATGGAAGCACATGTGTAAATAGCCAGATAGATGGAGGCATTCAGGGTCCACAATAGAGACTCAGAAAGAGGATAATCGAAAAAGATGGGAGAGTGTGTGTGTGTGTGTGTGTGTGTGTGTGTGTGTGTGCGTATGGGAACACACAGGAGGGCATACCCCAACATGTACAAACTGCTCTGTTTCTTTCTGGTCCTAAGCCTAAAAGAAGGGAGACCATGTTCTATCATTAGTCAAACACAGGGGAGTGCGAAGGGGCCCAGAGAAAACCTAATGGGAACCTGCTTTCATGTGCCCACAACCATACATACACACTTGGACATCCTGACCTGTCTGAGTCTTTAGTTTAGTCCCTTTGACCCCTAGATTTTTCCAGTACTCCCAAGCCCAACCCTGAGCACAGACTGTGAGATCTTGTTGCATCTAGAAATTCAAGCTGTTCATCCAGTACCCATGTCATAGACATGAAAGCCACAAGGAGAATTCTCTATCACCAGGGGTCTTCCTACAGTATTGATCCATCACCGCATTCCTCCTATCATCACCCAACACCAACAAACCAACACTGGTTTCATGACTTTCTCATGGGGCATGTGTAGGCACCCGCATCTCTGGAGCTCATAGCTGGTCCCTCTTCTCCCACCTTTAGCCTCACCTTGACCTCAGAGCCCTCCAAGTCATTGCTTTCAATGTCCCCAGGATTGGCGCTGACATTGACGGAAACTGAGAAGATCTTGGAAGAGGCAGCCTAGGCCAGGAAAGAGGAGTGATCAGAAAGCTATCCCCAGTGCCACGTGACCACCACGCCAGGTAGACCTGGTGTTGCCCTGGGTTTTGGTTAAATGGATAAGCCAGGCGCCAGTCTGCAGGCCTAACAGCTGCAAAATTGAAAGAGAGCTGCAGTCTATCCTGCCATCAGGGAGTGAAACAGAGTCCCCTGGGCCTGAGGGAGAAAATGATGGGTCAGGGAACATCAAAGAGAAATTAAGTCAGGGAGGCTTGGGGTGGTACAGGGCAGGGCAAGTCTAGGTCAGGGCTAGTGTCCACAGTGGGGCAGGGCCAGGAGGGGAGCTGCTGAGAGGGACCCTGCCTTTCTCTTGGACTTCTTGGCTTTCTGGAGTCGCTTCAGCTTCAGCTCCTGTTTCTTGATCCGCTTCTTCTTCTGGGAGATGAGGTGGTCAACATCCACACCACACTAGAGACACAAGCCAGAGGTGGGGTTTTTTGTCTCACCCTCTGCTTCAGCGAGTCACAGTAGAGCTCAGCATTGGCAAAGTACATGGTGACTGAGGAGCGGAAGACCTTCACACCTGGGACTTCCTTGGCCTGGAGATGAGGTGAGGTTGGGGTGGCCGAGCCTTCCTTACCTTCCACTGCATCTTCTCTCACCTTCACCCCTTAGAGGGCCCAGTGCCTCCCCAACCCGCCTCTGTCTCCAGCCTGTGACATATACCCTCCTGGGAGCCTGGGCCATGAACCTGGCTAGGTGACTTTCACTCCCTGTCCTGCCCAGGCCCTGTCCCTCCCCACTCTCCTGCCCTTCCCAGGATTTGTGGCTATTAGCCCTCTCTCTTCTTGGGTCTCCTAGCTCTGCTCTGTGCTCCCCTTCTCCAAAGGGAGAAACCTCTCTAAGCTGTCATTCCAACCGGACGTTTCCCAGATCTCTCACCATTGAGTACCCAGTCCAGGTCTAAGCTGGGTATTTGGGCCTGCACCATGTGACACACACACCCCCAGCTTCAACCTGGGCTAGTCCATTCATGTTCTTCCCATACTTAGGCCGCTCACTCTACCCCTTATCCTGCCTAATCATACTATGCCCAGTCTTAATGTTTCCATGATAGGGTCAAAAGGCTTATCTTTTCCAGAGTCTCACACAACCTGTGTTCTCAGGCCTTGGTATGAGACGTTCCAGGACATAAACTAGGGATTGGATTGGACACTTTGTAATTCTACTGATCGGATTAGGAAACAACCTCCCCTATATCCTATGCCTCTGCCTGCTCCTCCACTCTCCTGACCCAGGGGTACTGGATAGGGTGGGGCTTGTGCTGCGGGTTCCAAGCTCATCTCATCTGCTTATACCTTAAATGAGGGTCAGAGACACAAACTCCTGTCTTCAAATTACAGAGAACAAAGCCAAAGTGCTCCCAGCCTATGACACATACCCTCTTAGGATATGTAATGCATGCATGTGTGTACACATATATGTGGACGGATGCATTTTCTGTGGAGGCCAGAGGCTGACATTGGATGTCTTCCTCTATTGATCCCCACCTTTGAGACAGGGTGTCTTATTGAATGTGACGATTACCAACTGGCTAGTGAGCCCCAGAAATCCTCCTGTCCTCCTTACCAGCAGTGAGATTATAGACATACATGCTGCCATACCTGGCACTTTAAATGGTTGCTGGGGATCAAAACTCAGGACTTCATGTTTGTGCAGAAAGCACTTTACCCACTGAGTCATTCTCTAGTCGTTCCCCTCAGTGTTCATAGACAGGAACATGTTCATGTTCACAAGGAAGGGAATAAAAAGGGCCCGTTATACCTTTGGTCTGCCCTGCCCCCTACCCCATTCAGCCCCTGCCACTCACCCCTGAGTATTCTGCCACATCTCTATAAATATCCGTGTCTGGCACCTGCCCCAGGACAGAGTAATGCGGCCTGAAGAGAGAGGGAGGGCAAAAAAGGAGGCAAAGAGAAGAACATGAGAGGAAGAAAGAAGAACATGGAGTGTCCCCAGAGATGTGGGGAGCCAGTGCAGAACTTACTCCCTCACCGAGATGAAACTGGGGTGACCAAAGGGCTGACTCACAGCTGTGTTCGGAAAACCACAAGCAGCAGGGCAAAGACTATGGAAACTGCCAGACCAATGTCCAGGTTCAGTAGGATGGTGGCCACAAAGGTTACCAGCCAGATTAGCTGAAAATGGAAGGGTACGGTCAAAGGGTCCATTGACACTAAAGACCCCAAGCTCCGCCCTGGCTCCCAGGGTTCTTACCAGGTCCATTCGATTTGACTTCCAGAGGGAACAGATGTCAGAGAACTGCTTCATCATGCCCTTAAGATTCACAATAATGACAGCTGCCAGGACAGCCTGGGGCAGGGAAAGTCACCAGGGCTGCTGAGAGGTACCCGGAGGCTCACAGCCTCCACCACCCAGGCGTGACCCACGAGGGCTGACCAAGCATCTGGGCAGAGCCCAGTCCACAGCCACTACCACCCACACCAATTTTAACCCATTGGTTCTGACTAATAAAAATTCTTTTCTTCAGTCTTTTTGAGACAGGGTCTCCCTGTAGCCCCAGCTGGCCTGGAACTCACTATGTAGACCAGGCTGGCCTTGAACTCACAGAGATCTGCCTGCCTCTGCCTCCCGAGTGCTGGGACTAAAGTCATGCACCACCACGCCCAGCTTATGACTAAAATATTTTAACACTTCACCCTGGACCACAGATTTCATCTCAAGATTACAACCTTGTATTTCTATGCCCCATACCCGGGACTAGAGTAACTGATCTGGGTCTAGCCTACCCTACACACTGAAGCCCAGAAGAGAGGGTTGGGAGCTCACCTTGGGTAGATCTTGAAAGAGTTCCCCAAGTTTGACAATGATTAGGAGGATGAAAAGAGAAGATACAGCTCCAGCAACCTGCAAAGTAGGGGCAGCAGAGGGTACAGGTAAACACAGGTGTAACGGGGAGCATGAGGGAAGAGTGAACACAGGGTGAGGGGGAGCAGTAGCTGAGGGTGAACATAGGGGGAGGTTGAACACCAGGAGAGGGTGAGCAAGCACAGGACCGTCCTGACAGAACTGCATGCACATACAGATGCACATTTACCCAAAAGCTCATGCTTGTGCCCGAGGCCCACCTGTGTGTTGCCCCCAGTGCTCTCCTGTACCAGGCTCCGAGACATAGAGCAACTCACAGGGAAGCACTGGAAGAAGCCTCCAACGAGGTTACTGAGGCCGAGGGCCACCAGCTCCTGGTGGGGAAACGTGGGTGTGAGGTCTTTCCAGAAGCACTGGGTTGCTCTCCCACTATGTCTAGGCTGATGGACTCCCAAAGCCCATTCCCAGTCAATGGCCTGCAAGGTTTGCTGTTGTTCCACATGTCCTGTGCTCTCACCCTCAGTCCCTTCTGAGTCCAGCCTGACTCTACCCTGGTCATCTGGGCCTTTGGACTCCTGCATGCCCCCTACTTGTCCTGCACACACAGACCTGGTTGCTGTCCACCCGATAGCCATGCCTCAGGGCAAAGATCTTCCCCAGTGAGATAGCAATGGCAAAGCCCACCACAGCAATGGCAAAGGCATTTCCCACAAGCTTTGCAAACAACTGGGCATTGGGTGCCACTGGAGGTATCAGCCTGGAAGAAACATCTGTGAGATCAGAGACGGCTCCAGCCCTAGCTGCCCACCTCCCTGACAGGACCAGAGCTCACCCTGCAGGGATGCTGCCTACCACATCCACACTGAATCTGTTCTGCAGGTCCACACCATAGGAAATCCCGGTGGCCCCGATGAGCTGTGGGGACAGGACAGAGTGAGGGGAAGGAGGTGCTGGCAGTATCATAAGGGACATGGGTAAACCATTTTGAAAGACAAATATTTTTCTGAGAGTAGGGTGTTGTGGGTAGGGTGAGAGATAAACAGTACCATTTGGAAAAGGGGAGATGCTGTCAAGGGTGGTAAGGAGCCAATATGGGGGCTTTCTGTTGCAGTTCCCCAACACCCAGGAACCCTTACAGTGGTCACTCCAGATGGGCCTCAAATACCTTGAGGCTGTGCACTTGATCAGATCTATGTTGTCTTTCCTCTCCCCTGCCCCCCACTCCCTGGCACCCGAACCGTGAGTAGTTCCCCAGGAATGGGCAGGGGCAGGTATCTCTTCAGCTTCTCATTCAACAGCTTCACCAGCACAAGCACCACTCCTGACACAATCGCCGTGATCAAAGTTCCCACAACAGTCTCAGGCAGCTTTGAGCAGACCTCCAGAAATGTCTGAAGAGAGGTGGCATTACAATTAGAATGCCAGGTCATGGAGCACAACACACCTACCTGCCCTTGCTCCCACCCTCACTCACATAGATAACTGACAGTGGCCCAGAGTGACTGTTCAGTGTGATGCCAAACACATACTTGAGCTGTGAGATGAGGACCTGCACGGATGCAGCTGTGGTATAGCTGCGGACCAAAGGCTCTGACAGGTAGGTGACCACAAAGCCAAAGTGCACCAGACCCAGCCCCACCTGTGGGGTCAACAGGTGTAGTCAGAGGCGGTAGAGGTTATAGGGATGGCCAAGGGCAGATAGGATCAGAGGGGTGAATGAAAAGCAAGAGGGGATAGCCAGACACCCAGGGTAATTGGGGGGGTCACATATTCCTGACTGTTGTACCACCTGGAAGAGGCCAACCAGGACACTGAGTGTGTAGGCGATCTGTACTCGGGCATCTTCAACTGTGGTGTTCAAGCTTTGCACGAAGGCCTCATCTGCAGTCAGGGATTCTGTCACACCGCCCACCATCACAGACATTACAGCAAAGGTTCCTACAGAGGTAGAACAGGGAAGGTCTGAAGGGAAGAGGAAGCTGGCCTGCCCCGGAGGACTGTCTTAATTAAGAAAGGCCAGGATATATCCCATTCTGGGTAAATATGCTTTGGATTATAGTTGTACAAATGGACGCAGTGCTAGTTAGGTATGGCCAAAGTCGAAAGTGACCCCTGATAGGCATGTTGGCCCACACCTTTAGCCCCATCCCTGGTAGGCAGAGGCAGGCAGAAATCTGTGAAATCTAGGCAAGTCTGGTCTTATAGCAAGTTTCAGGCCAGCTGTAGCTACAGGGAGAATCTGTCTCAGGAAAAAAAAAAAAGTCGGGCATTGTGACACAAGCCTTTAATCCCATCCCTCAGTAGGCAGAGGCAGGCAGAACTCTGTGAGATCTAGGCCACATACATAGCTACATAGCAAGTTCCAGGCCAGCTGGAGCAACAGGGAGACCCTGTTTCAAAAAGACAAAATAAATAAATAAATAAAAAGGAATCCTCAGTTTATAAGCTCTCAAGGCTAACCAGAAATGCTGCCTCATCAAACTCCCTCCCCTCACCTGTGTCCAGCAGTCTAGGAACACAAAAGCTATCTGTGGAGCAGGAAAAGGATCATAGTTTATGTCAAGCTGGAGGCCTCTAGGAACTTCCAGGCCTCCTGAACTGCCTCACTTACCCTGGGGCCAGAGCTTTGAGATACCTTGAATCTGAAGTCCCACACTCCCATGGCTTAATACAGCCAAGGATGAGCCATGATCTAGTCTCACTACCCATGCTACCTAGTCCCGCTCAGCCCTCTCCTACCATATTCTCCTAGATAGACAGCGACCCAGAGTGAAGGATGGTTTCACTCCTGAGTCCACTTACCCAGAGAGATGTGCCGAGAAGTACCAAACAGAAAGTAGATGAAGACCGGGTAGAAGGAGCTGTAGAGGCCAAATACAGGAGGCAATCCAGCCAGAAGAGCATAGGCCAAACCTGGGGGTGGAATGGTAGCAATGTAGACTTGGAGAAGAGGGACTCAAAAAGGCATGGGAGTCCAAGTCCTGGGCACAGGGACCATATTTCCATGGCCAGGGGTCCTGACTCCTGATTTGGGGGTCTCATAGATCATAGAGCTTGTAGGCCAGGTCCTTGAAGGTAGCTCACCCTGGGGAAGCTGCATGATGGCCACACTCAGGCCAGATACCAAGTCACCCAAGAGCCAGTCACGCACAGGATAGCGGGGTAACCAGCCCACAACTGGAACATGCTGGACCAGAAGGGCATGGGCCCGAGCACGGGAGCATCTGCAGACAAGAAGGGTCCTTTAGAGACAGGGCTACCTGGGTCTTTGTCAGAGCTCCCAGACCTCTATCCTGAGCCTTACCGAAACCAATCACGCCACAGGTGGGTCTTAGGCGCTGGACCCCAGTGTCCCAGCTCCTCCAGCTGCTCCTGGTTCAGCAAAGGCCTTTCCACATGGTAGTCCCGCCTCTGCAGCTCCATGGTCTGTGTTGCAAACCAGAGTGCCTGAGTGTCCTAGGGTCTGGAGTGGTGAGACCAGAAGTACAGGGAGTATTTCCCTTGTCTAATCTTTCCTAAACTTCTGCCTGAGATCAGAGAATCACATACCTGAGCTTTTCAGGCTGGAAGATTGAGGGTTGATCCAGCCCTGTTGGTCTCTGAGGGCCCCATGCTCATACCCAGACTGGGACAGTACCTGAACTTTGGCTGCTGGAAGCCACTTTCTGGGCCAAAGTCTCTCCGGAAGGGAGAAAGGATGAGCATGACCTACATATCCATCTTAGGTGTGGCTGCCCAGCCCTGAGTACCACTTCAAGTCAAAGTCCAAGTCTAGGGCCAGACAGCCTGTGTCTCCTGGCCCCTTCCTACCAGCTCCTTGCCTTCCCTGAATCAGTCCCTGTCCAGTCCCTTAGCAACTGTCCTATGAGCTCAACCTGGATGGCTGAGAACACATTCAGGGAAAGGACTTCACAAAACAGAGGTCTAGATCTGCAAGCAATACTCTTCCCAAGGTTCAGGCCTCCAGATATGATCTGCCTCTCTGAAAGAAGGATGGTTTTAACACTGGACCTCTAACTCCAAGGTCCAGGAGGGAGAGGCTCCCACTTGAAGTAGGAAAACATTTCACCTGGGAACAGGCACTTTCAGAGGTCAATCCAATGTAGAGGGAACTTTGCCCAGAAAGCTTTTGGCAGCCAGGCAAGTTCTGACCTGGGAGGAATCTATACCTACCAGGAGAAACCTCTCTGAAGTGGAATAAGACCTCACTAGGAAATAGGATGAGGGGGAGGGCCAGGGTTCTCATCTGAGGGGGTTCTCTTAATTAAGAGACACTCTTGGCTAGGGGGAGGGCCCACATGGAATGCAGCTCTCCCCTGGGAATAGATTTCACAGGATGAATTTTAGGGTTGATATGTAGCATATCTGTAAAGCTGATGTGGAAGAAACCCTAACCAGGGGAGAGTGGTCCCACCAGAGGGGCAGGAACTCACCTGGGAAGAGGCTCTAACCTGGCCCTCCAAGCTGGAGGAGGGAACAGAGCAGGTGCAAGGGAGATCCTTGAAGACTCTCACTGCAAAGCAGCCTGTCTCCACTCATAGACCTTAGCACTCTCTCCCCTCCTCCTGGATCATTCAAGTCTTCTTAAAGGGCTCCCTCCCCCTTACGCAGCCACTGCCCCCGAAGGGTGGAGCTTTGACCCTTGGCTTCAGCCTCTGGGAGGGCACTGGGTTCCTCAGTGTCAGAGTTCCCAGCCAGAGGAACTGCTAGACATACTCAGGCCCCTGCAGGTCCACCCGCCTGGCTAGAGACAGTTATGCAGCCATGTCCTGGGTTCCTCTGCAAGCAACATCTCTGTGGTCCCCTTGTTAGCTCGGAGACAGCATTCCAATGGCTTTCTGTACAACCCTCATGGATTGGGGTCTCGCCAGCTCCGGTCACCATCCTTCTCTATAGACCACCACCTGCGGAAAATCGGCAAGGCAGGTAAACCCAGGCCCTGCAGTCAAGAAATGACTGCTGAAGACTTGGCGGTTCCTTTTCAGAACTGGCCTAGACTTGGGAGCCCACGCGGGTGTCACAGGACCACTAGTGCTTAGTGAACACTCAGAATTCGGGCCATGCCCTGCAAGTCACCAGGACCCAACTGACAGCTCTGTGAACCAACAAGTAGCTCACAGCTCTGACAACTCCAGCCAGAGTCCACTACCTGCTGGACAGCAGGGAACCCAGTAGGGGTAGGGGTGGGGGTGGGGGCAAGCTCCAGTGGGCTAATCCCTGTCCAGAAGAACAGGTTTAGACCAATCAGAATTCTGCGGGTGGAGCCTAAATCCGCTCTTTGAGCCCTGCGAGCCTGAAGAACTCCAATTTAACCCTTTTTTCCCCCTAGGTAGCTCATGCTACCCTTGATGGTTTGCTAACCCTCCGCCTGGAAGCTAGTGGGACTGCAAAACTGGAATGAACGACTTGTGCCCGGCTTGGCCGGGGTCGAGGCTCCAGGCTCTGAATGGAAGAAGTCAGTCCTACGTCCTGGCTTTGTAGAGGGGTCCAGTGTGGTGAGAGGAGAAAGGCTTGAATGATCTGGATGCCTGGGTTATGTGGCCAGTGGTCCCAGCTTAACTATAGGAGATTCAGGCCTCTCATTGTATACAAGCTGCGGGCATCACCCTCAGACTTCCCCACTGAGACCTGGCTTCCATTTCACCTCTGGCTACCTAGACCAGAAATGGGGAGCTGTGAGGATCCCTTCTGTCCCCCTCTGTAAATCCAGCCCAGACACCAATCCTAGAAAAGGAACCTGCTGTGGGTGAGTAAGGCAGGAACCTCAAGGGCAACTCCTAGGTTTGGTTTGACGATTGGTCAGCACCACAAATGCCAGGCCCTGAACATTAAGGAACTCCTCATGCTACTCCTAGACCAGGAAGGAGGCTTCCCCTGACACCTTAGGCCCATGCTGTGCTCCAACTTCAGGCTCCAATCACTAGGTGAGGAGCCACATTTCAGAGTAAAAGAGAGGGAAACCTGGTCTAAATCTGCCATGAAGTGGACTAAAAATAACTGGATATTTTGGAGGGAGGAGGGTTTAGATTCCCCTCAAAGATCATTCTGGTGTGACTCATTCTTAGCTGCCACCCTCTGCCACTATCTGAAACAGAGGCAGACAACAAACACTTCTATAGAAATTTATTACTAGCCAGGGGTGGTGGCCCACACCTTTAATTCCAGCACTCAGGAGGCAAAGGCAGGTGGATCTCTGTGAGAAAGAGGCCACCCTGGTCTATATAGTGAGTTCCAGTCTAACTAGAACTATAGGGAGACCCTGTCTTCAAAAGATCCCCCCCAAAAAGTTTATTCCCGAAACAGAGCATGGCCTCATGGAACATTGTACAGGTAGCAAAGAGGGCCACTGTGCTGGAGGGGATCCCATAGAGGGACATTTACAGAACCCAGACATAGCAAGGACCCTCTCCAACTCACAGTAGGCCACTCAGCCCTTCAAAGCTGGGGTCACCCTTGGGAGAAGAGCTGAAGTCCTAGCTGATGGGATTTGGCAACAGTTTGTAAAATGGGATTTTTAATCTTGGAAACTGCCTCCCAAGAATAAGCATGGGGTAGGGGTGGGGAAGTATCAACACAGAACTCTAACTATGCACAATCACAACACATTATCTGCTGATCTACAAACACCACAGCATCTGTCCTAGGTCATAAGGCAGTAAGTAGCGGGGAGTCCATGTAATACACATACACATCCATGGGGAAGATCGGTATGAGCCCTTATCAGGGGTTGGAAGACCCTGTTTTCTAAGACCAATCCCCAACCCCAGGAGTTTGGACTGTGGGACATTAAACAAAATACAAAGACTGCCAGGCGTGGTGGCACAGGCCTTTAATCCCAGCACTTGGGAAGCAGAGGCAGGCGGATCTTTGTGAGTTCGAGTCCAGCCTGGTCTACATAGTGAGTTTCCAGGACAGCTGGGGCTACAAAGAGACCCTGTCTCAAAAAGACAAAAAAAAAACAAAGATTAAATCTGCATGTTGGCTCCAGACCATGTTCAGATAAGAGTGGGAATGGGGAGGGAAGGAGAAGATCTGTCCCACCTGTCCACTCTACCCCATAAAATGAGAGAAAAAAACATATGGTTTGTTAAGGACCTGCACCTCTCTCACGACCTCTTCCCCCGCAGCCCAGCCTCAGACCCCTGGGAGACAGAAAAGCTGAAAAACAACATAAGCATATCTCTCTGGTTACAAAGGTACAAAATGTATAAAAGTCCTCCCCTCAGTTCCCACCCTCTGCACCTGTCACACGCATGCTCACAGATGCGCATGGGACCTCCGCACTGCACTGCACTGCAATGAGAGAGTTGAGGGGAGAACTTGAAGAAGGCTGCCTTGAGATCAACCCAAAGTCTCTTCTGGCAGCCGAAATCTTCTGCTGCCCTTGGCTGCTCCTCACCAGCTTGCCAGCCCCTCAGGAATGACCCTCACTTCTGGGAACTCTGTCAAGTTGAATGTAGAAATTAAGGGTCATGGCTGAGAGAACCTTTGCCTCTCAGCCCACAGCCCCTTCATGCCCACTCCAGGGTTCTGAGTCCTTTGCACGTCCCTTCTGGACCTCTACTCCCGAGACTCATCAGCAAGGCTGCTTGGCTGCCGAGGTCTCTTAGCAAGTCACCATTTGTGAGACAGATGTGTCACAAATATCCATATCTCAAAGAGTTTGTTTCTATAGACCCCTTCTACAGATGAAGATGCTGACTCAGAGCAGCTTGTACTGTGCCAATGTCACAGCAGATGAGAGACAGAACTCACATTCCATGTGACTCCAGCCCGAGTTCCTGCTCGGTGCCCTGGCACTTCTGCTACACAGCCAGACCCCAAGGCCAGACTTCAGGGGGGACCCAAGTGGGTTATCTCTCTCATCTCCGCCCCTAAGCATTGCTCCAGAGCTCCAGGTTCCCCATCACCAGGCTAATTCAAATCCCTTAAATCCCTTTTTAAAGCCAGGTGTAATGCTCTTAGAAGGTAGAAGCAAGAGAAATGCTACAAGGTTCAGTCCAGTCAGGGACACACAGCTCCACACTGTCTCAAAATAAAAGAAAATTAGAAAATAGAAATAGCCAGGCACAGTAGCATAAGTCTTTAATCCCAGCACCAAGGAGGAATGGATCTCTGTGAGTTCCAGGCAAGCCTGTTCTACAGAATGCGCTCCAGGCCTACCAGTACTACATAATGAGTCTCTGTTTAAAAAACCAAAACAACCCCACCGGGTGTGGTGGAAGAGGCAGGCGGATCTCTGTGAGTTCCAAACCAAACAAAACAACAACAAACAAAGCCCCTTTTAAATTTGTCATGATTTTTCTCATTTTATTTGTTTCTTCTCAGAGGGCTCAAACTCAAGGACTTTTGCATGCTAAGCATAGGCTTTAACACTGAGCAACAGTCCCAGCCCTTTTCTCATTATTTAAAATCACTCCTCTACTTTTGAGTTTGTGAATTGAGTTTCTTTTCAAAACAAGGGCGCGAAAAATGCAAATGCCTTAGACCTAATTCAACCTGGAACACCAATAGTAGAAGGGACAAAAAGAATGAGGGGTCCTTTGAAGTGGTTCAACCCTCACTACTATTCTAGGGGCCTTGAAATGAGGGCCACACAAGCACCAGAGTATGTTTGAAGTTGCCACAAAAGACAAAGGCAGCTAGAGCTGTATACCAGGCTCTAGACTGGTCTTAGCTAGGAGTAGGGGTGAGGTAAGAATGGGGTTCTCGGAGGAGCCAAGGATCTAAAGCGTCTAAGCTTTTGGGGATCCAGGGGGAGAGACTTGGCAAGTGAAGAAACTGGAATCAGCTGCTTTCTCACAGCAGGACTGAAGTCATGAGTTCTCCTCTTCAACCTCCCTGAGATGGTGACAAAGGTGGTGGAACAAAGGAGTGGCTTCTACTCCACAGTGACTGAGGCCCCAGGGTTCTTCATCCCCATGAGAACTCTTGGGTATGGTTCCCATTCTCACTAGTGGCCCTCAATTCCTAAGGCCCTTCTTCCCTACCCTGTGTGGTGCAGAAGCCCAGGCACTCACTTGGCAGAAGCCCTACACAAGTCATCAGTGCCCACCTCACCAACATACATGGAGTACCAAACACAGCATACAGCTTCTGCTCAGACTGGGGCCTGATGTACACTTCCAGAATTATTCATCCACAGGACTCAGCTATGTTATCATCTCCTCTGTACAAGGATCGGGTCTTCCACACCATGGGTCCTTGGCTATTAGTCAGGCTGGAGGAGGGAGGGTGCTTCAAGGACCTTCCAACAATAAGACGCCACAGGCTCCAGACAGTCACACAGACACACAGGCTGAAGTCCTGCTTAGGGTCTCAGTCCCTTCCACACCAATCAGAAAAGAAAAGCATGGATTGGGTCACCCAGACTGGGTGGGGGTCACTTTTATTTGACTTTGTTGCTGGGAGGCCAGTCGCTGCAGGTGGCCTTCAAGGTGGAGCAGGATGGCATCCAGCATGTGAAGGACCTTGAGGACTAGGGTGCGGTCTGAGATGGGAGGCTGCCGTTTCCAGTGTCTGCAGGCACTGGTGGTCACCTGTGGGTGCTGAGAACATAGGACCAGACTAAGAATGAATGAGGGTCCATGGGTACAGCAAGGGGCAGCGATGGAGCTAGGGAGAAGGGCTATGGGGCAGCGCCCAAAGGGGAATGAAAGAGAGTCATAGTCACAGATCACTGTGGCTCTTCCAGGAGCTAGGTGGTCTGGAGGCCCATGGAGACTGAATGAGGAAAGGGAGTACTAAATGAGGACAGATGGGCTATGATACCAGCCCTGGGAAATGGTCAGGTTGTAGACAAGAGTTCCAAGAGATACAAAAACAGACTACAGGATGGAGGACAAGGTTAGGTAGGCAATCCACAAGGCCATAAGCCAGGCTGATGGGGTGATGGGGAACAGGGAGGATATGGACCCCTGGGGAATGAGAAGAGGCAGGAGCTGAAGAGGACAGAGGGGTGCTGTGCTCACCTGACCCTTAGTGACCTGAGCACACCACTGGTGCGGCTGAGGACCAGCATCATGGTGGTGGTGATCGTGACTCCAGCCAAGGGGTAGATAGGGATCCCCCCCAGACCCATCCAGTAGCCAGAGCAGCTCAGGCAGCTCCTGAAACCATCCAGGCTGTTTGGCTGGCACCCTCAGGGCTGCAAGTTCAGCCCTACCTGGTTCCAGAGGGGCCATGAACAGGCATAGCTGGGAGTATGTACTGGTCTAGCACTGGTACTAAGAAGAGTGTCCACAGCATGTCTATGGACACTACCAGAGGCCAGAACCTGGGTGCCTTGGCAACCCAGCAAATACTCCTTCCACAAAAGCAGACCCATGGTGGCACACACCTATAATCCAGCACTCAGGAGGCAGAGGCAGATGGATCTCTGTGAGTCTAAGGCCAGCCTGGTCTACATAGTGAGTTCCAAGTCAGCTGGGGCTACAGGGAGACGCTGTCTCAAAAAGATCAAAAAAAGCTCTGAAGCAGCAGGTTCCAGGCAGGTCCATGGCCTTTCAGGATATGCCTGGTCCAATGATGGGGGATGGAGACTGGGGATGAAATGGCAGACCTGTGGCCTCCTGGGTCCCAATCTCTCAGTCAGCCCAGACATGAAGGAATTACCCTATGAACCAACTGACCTATCATGCCTCCCTAAATCTGAGCACACCACCCCCCTTGAGGCACATTGCTGCCTACCTGGGGTAGCAACACCCAGGCTGATAAACCAAAGTGCAGAAGAGCTGTTCAAAGCCTCCCCACCCCCAGCTGAGCCCCACTATTGGCACTGTGCAGAGTGAGCACTCAAAAGCTTGGCTCCCTTAAACGTTCCTGCTGCCTACTGCCCCTGCCTCACCCAGATCTCTCTGAACACTGGCACTTCCTTGTTCTAGGAGCATGCTTTCCCTTCTAGAAAGTCACCTTCTCAAGGTTGGAGTTTCAGCCCAAGTATCATGTGCTCCCAGAGCCCCCTCCTATGACTATATTGGTGACATAGTTCCTTCTCTCTAAGGAGACCCTATTTTCTTCAAAACCTTTCTGACTACCTATAGCCACATCTTTATTCCCAAAGCTATAAACACACATCAGTTCCCTCTCTGCACCCAGCTAAGGTCAGCCTGACTGCAATTTGTCTGAGGTCTCCTCTGGCTTCACCTGACAAATCTTCACTCAAACAGTATTTACTAAGTACCCATTCCTGGTAAAAGAACAGAGCAGACAGAGATCCTCCTTCTGAGACTGAGGTTTTGGCGAGAACACTTATAACTTGTAAATATAGTGATAGTCATGGATAAAGACCCCGATATAAATAGGGTCAAGGGGCCTGCAGAGTACCTAATGAACAGATTCACATGTTCAGAGCAGGTGATGTGAGCCCTGCATTGTTCAGGCCATTTCCAGGTGTTTGCTCACTTAATACCCATCTGGTTTTCATTCTTCTACTGATCAGGAACATACCACTGACCCCACAGACATTCATCACTGGGTCAGCTGCCCATTAGGCCACACCAACTCTGTTGGCATTTTATGCCAGAAACCAGCCAGATCCTGGCTGACAGTGTTCTGCCAATCCCAGAGCTCTATGGCAGGTAACTCGTCATGCTTATGTTTAGATCCAGCAACAGCACTGGGGAATGGCTGTTGATCTTTAGCTGGGGATTCAGGGGTTCACTGTGCATCCCCTATAAGCACTGACTCTACTTTGCATCACATCAGGTACCCATGAGAATGGATTGGTCCTGAATGACAGCTTTGATTCCATCTATTTTTCAGCTAGGAACTGAAAGTCTGTGTGGAACCTTGAGCTTATAACGTCCCTACCCTCTGGCCCCATAATTGCCCTGCTCCTGCATGCTCTCTGCTTCACCTTGACATCCCCAAATCTTACACTGAAGTTCTGTCTACCTTGGGGCATAAGAAGGGTTGGGAAACAGGCTGTAAATCACCTGACACCCCAGGCAAAACCCGTCACAACACTGCAGAGCCTGAAGTTGGACAGACATACCTTTATTCCCAAAGTTGTAAACATACATCCATTCCCTCCCTGCACCCAGCCAAGGCCAGCCTGACTGCAATGTCTTTCCCCAGGCCTGCAGCACTGAACTTGGAGTCCTAAGACCTCCATCCCTTAGTTGTATGTATACGCATGTAGATGAAGGGGAGTCCTGGATGGCACCTGGAGATGGCCCAGACGCAGGGTGTTTCAGTAGGGTGAGCTGTCAGGAGGGTAGGCAGGGTCAGCAGCACAATCAGAGTTTAGTGGCCTAAGTGGGCAGGAGGAGAGGTTCCAGTTAGTGTCCACAGATTATATTCAAGCCCTCTAGCTTGAGACAGCACCCCCACAAAAACCAACTTTATTCTAAGGTAGAAGGGAAAGAGCAATCAGTTCATTGGAGCCAGAGCCAAGGCCAATGGCATGGACTTCCCGGAGTTGGGGTCCTGTTGGGGACAAGCAACAGATTAACAAACAGTACTCAGTGGGCCAGTGACAGCTTACCAAGACAGGGCTGTTGGGGCCAGATTTTGAGTGTTGGAGGGCAAAGGTCACAGCATCATGGACAGAGGCAAAGAGATGCTGCTTAGTGATGGATTCGTCAAAGAAGTGTCCAGCCTCGAGCTGGGTAACCACAGGGCCTGTGGGTAAGGAGCAGTCCTAACACTTAAGACCATAAGGAACCCAGGACTGAGGCACCCCTAGACTCCTTTGACCCCTGCCACCCCTGATCTCTACTTACAGTTAGATACCCAGTCACTCCTGACTCTGTATGCTGAGCCTGTACCCAGAGCAGTATGTCAGATGTTACGTTCTATCAGTCTCAATCTTCGTCCCTTGAGATAGGGCTTCCAGCCAAACCTGAAGCTTGCCATTTTGGCAATGCTAACTGACCAGTAAGATCTTGGGGGTTCCATCTGTTTGTACCCACCAAAGGCTGGTGTGCTGGGCATTCACAGGGCATGCCTGGTTTACATGGTGCTGGGGACTTGAACTCAGGTCCTCATTCTTGAGCAACCATCACTCTTACTCGCTGAGCCATCTCCCCAGCCCCACTCCCAACTCCTGACTCCTATCTCCTAAGATATCTCTGACCTCTACTTGAGTCCTACCCTTTGCTACGATTATTCTTGCTGTCCCCACTCAACATACTGTGGCAGGCTGCAATGTACACCTCCACCTCGATCTCCCAGAATTCACGAAAAATCTGTGGCAACAAAGGGGTCTGGTCTCAGCGGGGCAGCGGCTGGGCAAGATTTAGTGGGGGAGCTCGGAGGGCTTGATTTGGGACATCAGAAAGCTCAGAGTGCTTTCTCAACACAAGGGTCAGTGTGGAGGCTTTTGGGGCCCTGGCCAGCCCACAAGCCCTTACGTTCTTCAGGCTCTTAATGCACACAGTGTCCACAAAGGAGAGGGTGCTCAGGTCCAGGACGAGGCTATGGAAGCCTGGCTGAGGCAGACCCAAGGACTTCAGTGTGGTCACGTTTGGGGCCTTGACATCTTCTGGACTGTTGGCTGCTGCATTCTCTAACTCATCCCTTCGGTGCACCTGCAGGGAGGCAGATGTGCTGAAGGGTCACCATGAGGGGGTGAAGGCAGAATAAGCATGCTGCACAGGGACACACAGGTCAATCATGGAAGCACATGTGTAAATAGCCAGATAGATGGAGGCATTCAGGGTCCACAATAGAGACTCAGAAAGAGGATAACCGAAAAAGATGGGAGAGTGTGTGTGTGTGTGTGTGTGTGTGTGTGTGTATGGGGGACACACAGGAAAGCATACCCCAACACGCACAAACTCCTGTTACTTTCTGAGCTTAAGCCTAATAGGGACATAGGAAAGGAGGGTGCTAGGAGACCATGTTCTATCATTAGTTAAACACTGGAGAGTGAGAAAGGGCCCAGTGAAAACCAAATGGGAACCTGCTTTCATGTGCCCACAATCATACACACATATGTAGACACTCTGACCTGTCTGAGTCTTTAGTTTAGTCACTTTTGACCTCTAGATTTTTCCAGTATTCCCAAGCCCTACCCATGAGCACAGGCTGTGAGGTCTTGTTGCATCTAGAAATTCAAGGTCTTCATCCAGACCCCAGATCATAGACATGAAAGTCACAAGGAGAATTCTCTATCACCAGGGGTCTTCCTACAGTGTTGATCCATCACCGCATTCCTCCTATCATCACCCAACACCAACAAACCAACACTGGTGGGTCATGACTTCCTCATAGGGCATGTGTAGGCACCCACATCTCTGGAGCTCATGGTTGGCCCCTCTTCTTCCACCTTTAGCCTCACCTTGACCTCAGAGCCCTCCAAGTCATTGCTTCTGATATCTTCAACACTGTCATTGACATTGATGGAAACCTCGGTGATCTTGGAAGAGGAAGCCTAGGCCAGGAAAGAGGGGTGACCAGAAAGCTATCCGCAGTGTCACATGACAACGATGCCAGGTAGATCTGGTATTGCTCTGGCATTGGGTAAGTGAAAAAGCCAGGAACCAAGCTACAGGCCTGAGAAGAGTGACAAAAATGAAAGAGGCATGCTGTGGTCCTTGGTATGACTGACAGAGGAAAGAGAAGAAGAAGAAAATACCACTAGAGCCTGTCCTGCCTGTCAGGGAGTGAAACAGGGTCTCTAGGGCATGACAGAGGCAGTGGAGAGGCACAGAATGTCAGAGAGAAATGGGATGGGGGTACCCCAAGATTGGGAGAAAGGCTTTGGGAGGTACAGGTCAGGGCAAGGCAGGAGGTAGGGGTCAGGGCTGGCGTCCACAGCAGGGCAGGGCCAGGAGGGAGCTGCTGAGAGGGACCCTGCCTTTCTCTTGGACTTCTTGGCTTTCTGGAGTCGCTTCAGCTTCAGCTCCTGTTTCTTGATCCGCTTCTTCTTCTGGGAGATGAGGTGGTCAACATCCACACCACACTAGAGACACAAGCCAGAGGTGGGGTTGGGTATTCGGGGGAGCCGAGGGGTCCTCAGACTCCCCTTCCCCCTACCGGACAGGGAGACCAGTCTCACCCTCTGCTTCAGCGAGTCACAGTAGAGCTCAGCATTGGCAAAGTACATGGTGACTGAGGAGCGGAAGACCTTCACACCTGGGACTTCCTTGGCCTGGAGATGAGGTGAGGTTGGGGTGGCCGAGCCTTCCTTACCTTCCACTGCATCTTCTCTCACCTTCACCCCTTAGAGGGCCCAGTGCCTCCCCAACCCGCCTCTGTCTCCAGCCTGTGACATATACCCTCCTGGGAGCCTGGGCCATGAACCTGGCTAGGTGACTTTCACTCCCTGTCCTGCCCAGGCCCTGTCCCTCCCCACTCTCCTGCCCTTCCCAGGATTTGTGGCTATTAGCCCTCTCTCTTCTTGGGTCTCCTAGCTCTGCTCTGTGCTCCCCTTCTCCAAAGGGAGAAACCTCTCTAAGCTGTCATTCCAACCGGACGTTTCCCAGATCTCTCACCATTGAGTACCCAGTCCAGGTCTAAGCTGGGTATTTGGGCCTGCACCATGTGACACACACACCCCCAGCTTCAACCTGGGCTAGTCCATTCATGTTCTTCCCATACTTAGGCCGCTCACTCTACCCCTTATCCTGCCTAATCATACTATGCCCAGTCTTAATGTTTCCATGATAGGGTCAAAAGGCTTATCTTTTCCAGAGTCTCACACAACCTGTGTTCTCAGGCCTTGGTATGAGACGTTCCAGGACATAAACTAGGGATTGGATTGGACACTTTGTAATTCTACTGATCGGATTAGGAAACAACCTCCCCTATATCCTATGCCTCTGCCTGCTCCTCCACTCTCCTGACCCAGGGGTACTGGATAGGGTGGGGCTTGTGCTGCGGGTTCCAAGCTCATCTCATCTGCTTATACCTTAAATGAGGGTCAGAGACACAAACTCCTGTCTTCAAATTACAGAGAACAAAGCCAAAGTGCTCCCAGCCTATGACACATACCCTCTTAGGATATGTAATGCATGCATGTGTGTACACATATATGTGGACGGATGCATTTTCTGTGGAGGCCAGAGGCTGACATTGGATGTCTTCCTCTATTGATCCCCACCTTTGAGACAGGGTGTCTTATTGAATGTGACGATTACCAACTGGCTAGTGAGCCCCAGAAATCCTCCTGTCCTCCTTACCAGCAGTGAGATTATAGACATACATGCTGCCATACCTGGCACTTTAAATGGTTGCTGGGGATCAAAACTCAGGACTTCATGTTTGTGCAGAAAGCACTTTACCCACTGAGTCATTCTCTAGTCGTTCCCCTCAGTGTTCATAGACAGGAACATGTTCATGTTCACAAGGAAGGGAATAAAAAGGGCCCGTTATACCTTTGGTCTGCCCTGCCCCCTACCCCATTCAGCCCCTGCCACTCACCCCTGAGTATTCTGCCACATCTCTATAAATATCCGTGTCTGGCACCTGCCCCAGGACAGAGTAATGCGGCCTGAAGAGAGAGGGAGGGCAAAAAAGGAGGCAAAGAGAAGAACATGAGAGGAAGAAAGAAGAACATGGAGTGTCCCCAGAGATGTGGGGAGCCAGTGCAGAACTTACTCCCTCACCGAGATGAAACTGGGGTGACCAAAGGGCTGACTCACAGCTGTGTTCGGAAAACCACAAGCAGCAGGGCAAAGACTATGGAAACTGCCAGACCAATGTCCAGGTTCAGTAGGATGGTGGCCACAAAGGTTACCAGCCAGATTAGCTGAAAATGGAAGGGTACGGTCAAAGGGTCCATTGACACTAAAGACCCCAAGCTCCGCCCTGGCTCCCAGGGTTCTTACCAGGTCCATTCGATTTGACTTCCAGAGGGAACAGATGTCAGAGAACTGCTTCATCATGCCCTTAAGATTCACAATAATGACAGCTGCCAGGACAGCCTGGGGCAGGGAAAGTCACCAGGGCTGCTGAGAGGTACCCGGAGGCTCACAGCCTCCACCACCCAGGCGTGACCCACGAGGGCTGACCAAGCATCTGGGCAGAGCCCAGTCCACAGCCACTACCACCCACACCAATTTTAACCCATTGGTTCTGACTAATAAAAATTCTTTTCTTCAGTCTTTTTGAGACAGGGTCTCCCTGTAGCCCCAGCTGGCCTGGAACTCACTATGTAGACCAGGCTGGCCTTGAACTCACAGAGATCTGCCTGCCTCTGCCTCCCGAGTGCTGGGACTAAAGTCATGCACCACCACGCCCAGCTTATGACTAAAATATTTTAACACTTCACCCTGGACCACAGATTTCATCTCAAGATTACAACCTTGTATTTCTATGCCCCATACCCGGGACTAGAGTAACTGATCTGGGTCTAGCCTACCCTACACACTGAAGCCCAGAAGAGAGGGTTGGGAGCTCACCTTGGGTAGATCTTGAAAGAGTTCCCCAAGTTTGACAATGATTAGGAGGATGAAAAGAGAAGATACAGCTCCAGCAACCTGCAAAGTAGGGGCAGCAGAGGGTACAGGTAAACACAGGTGTAACGGGGAGCATGAGGGAAGAGTGAACACAGGGTGAGGGGGAGCAGTAGCTGAGGGTGAACATAGGGGGAGGTTGAACACCAGGAGAGGGTGAGCAAGCACAGGACCGTCCTGACAGAACTGCATGCACATACAGATGCACATTTACCCAAAAGCTCATGCTTGTGCCCGAGGCCCACCTGTGTGTTGCCCCCAGTGCTCTCCTGTACCAGGCTCCGAGACATAGAGCAACTCACAGGGAAGCACTGGAAGAAGCCTCCAACGAGGTTACTGAGGCCGAGGGCCACCAGCTCCTGGTGGGGAAACGTGGGTGTGAGGTCTTTCCAGAAGCACTGGGTTGCTCTCCCACTATGTCTAGGCTGATGGACTCCCAAAGCCCATTCCCAGTCAATGGCCTGCAAGGTTTGCTGTTGTTCCACATGTCCTGTGCTCTCACCCTCAGTCCCTTCTGAGTCCAGCCTGACTCTACCCTGGTCATCTGGGCCTTTGGACTCCTGCATGCCCCCTACTTGTCCTGCACACACAGACCTGGTTGCTGTCCACCCGATAGCCATGCCTCAGGGCAAAGATCTTCCCCAGTGAGATAGCAATGGCAAAGCCCACCACAGCAATGGCAAAGGCATTTCCCACAAGCTTTGCAAACAACTGGGCATTGGGTGCCACTGGAGGTATCAGCCTGGAAGAAACATCTGTGAGATCAGAGACGGCTCCAGCCCTAGCTGCCCACCTCCCTGACAGGACCAGAGCTCACCCTGCAGGGATGCTGCCTACCACATCCACACTGAATCTGTTCTGCAGGTCCACACCATAGGAAATCCCGGTGGCCCCGATGAGCTGTGGGGACAGGACAGAGTGAGGGGAAGGAGGTGCTGGCAGTATCATAAGGGACATGGGTAAACCATTTTGAAAGACAAATATTTTTCTGAGAGTAGGGTGTTGTGGGTAGGGTGAGAGATAAACAGTACCATTTGGAAAAGGGGAGATGCTGTCAAGGGTGGTAAGGAGCCAATATGGGGGCTTTCTGTTGCAGTTCCCCAACACCCAGGAACCCTTACAGTGGTCACTCCAGATGGGCCTCAAATACCTTGAGGCTGTGCACTTGATCAGATCTATGTTGTCTTTCCTCTCCCCTGCCCCCCACTCCCTGGCACCCGAACCGTGAGTAGTTCCCCAGGAATGGGCAGGGGCAGGTATCTCTTCAGCTTCTCATTCAACAGCTTCACCAGCACAAGCACCACTCCTGACACAATCGCCGTGATCAAAGTTCCCACAACAGTCTCAGGCAGCTTTGAGCAGACCTCCAGAAATGTCTGAAGAGAGGTGGCATTACAATTAGAATGCCAGGTCATGGAGCACAACACACCTACCTGCCCTTGCTCCCACCCTCACTCACATAGATAACTGACAGTGGCCCAGAGTGACTGTTCAGTGTGATGCCAAACACATACTTGAGCTGTGAGATGAGGACCTGCACGGATGCAGCTGTAGTGTAGCCTCGGACCAAAGGCTCTGACAGGTAGGTGACCACGAAGCCAAAGTGCACCAGACCCAGCCCCACCTGTGGGGTAGTCAGGTGTAGTCAGGGGTGGCAGAGCTTTAGGAATGGCCAAGGGCAGGTAGGATCAGAGCGGATGAATGACCACATATTAAGAGCAAGACAGACAGACACCCAAGGGAACTCCTGACTGTTGCACCACCTGGAAGAGGCCAACCAGGACACTGAGTGTGTAGGCGATCTGTACTCGGGCATCTTCAACTGTGGTGTTCAAGCTTTGCACGAAGGCCTTATCTGCAGTCAGGGATTCTGTCACACCGCCCACCATCACAGACATTACAGCAAAGGTTCCTATATGGGTAGAACAGGGCAGGTCTGAATGGAAGAGGATGCTGTCCTTCCCTGGAGCAAAGTCTTAATTAAGAAAGACCAGCAGCTGGGTGTGGTGGCACACACCTTTAATCCTAGCACTTGGGAGGCAGAGGCAGGCAAATCTCTGGGAGTTCCAGGTCAACCTGGTCTACATAGTGAGTTCCATCCAGGTCAGCTAGGGATACAGGGAGACCCTGTCCCAAAAAAAAAAAAAAACCAAAGACCAGCAGCTATCCCATTCTGGAAAAATATACTTGAACTACAGTTGTACAACTGGAGGCAGTACTGGTTAGATACAGTCTAAGTCAAAATGGAACCCTCAGCTCACAAGCTCTCAAGTCTGGTCAGAAATGCTGGCCCTGACTCATCACCCTGCCTCACCTGTGTTCATTGGTCCAGGGACACAAAAGCTCTCTGTAGAGCAGGGAAAGGGTCATAGTCTGCTGCAAGCTAGACAAGCCTCTGGAAAGTTGTAGGCCCGGTGAGCTGTCTCAGTCACCCTGCAACCAGGGCTTTGAGATATCTTGAATCTGCAGTCCCATAGTCTGTAGCCTTAGTACTGCCTGTGGTAAGCCATTAGCTCTGGTCTTAGTAACCACACACCCATGCTGCCCTCTTCCCCAAGCTGCTCTGACCAGCTTAGCCCTTTCCTCCTGGAAAGACTGTGGCACAGAGTAAAGGATACGATACTTCACTTACCCACAGAGATGTGCCGAGAGGTACCAAACAGAAAGTAGATGAAGACCGGGTAGAAGGAGCTGTAGAGGCCAAATACAGGAGGCAATCCAGCCAGAAGAGCATAGGCCAAACCTGGGGGTGGAATGGTAGCAATGTAGACTTGGAGAAGAGGGACTCAAAAAGGCATGGGAGTCCAAGTCCTGGGCACAGGGACCATATTTCCATGGCCAGGGGTCCTGACTCCTGATTTGGGGGTCTCATAGATCATAGAGCTTGTAGGCCAGGTCCTTGAAGGTAGCTCACCCTGGGGAAGCTGCATGATGGCCACACTCAGGCCAGATACCAAGTCACCCAAGAGCCAGTCACGCACAGGATAGCGGGGTAACCAGCCCACAACTGGAACATGCTGGACCAGAAGGGCATGGGCCCGAGCACGGGAGCATCTGCAGACAAGAAGGGTCCTTTAGAGACAGGGCTACCTGGGTCTTTGTCAGAGCTCCCAGACCTCTATCCTGAGCCTTACCGAAACCAATCACGCCACAGGTGGGTCTTAGGCGCTGGACCCCAGTGTCCCAGCTCCTCCAGCTGCTCTTGGTTCAGCAAAGGCCTTTCTACATGGTAGTCCCGCCTCTGCCGCTCCTTGTCTTGTGTTACAGACAAGAGTGCCTGTGTGTCCTGCGGCCTAGAGTGGTGAGACCAAAGACATATAGTGAAGATTTCACTTGTCCATCCTTTCCTAAAATTCTCCCTGAGACCAGCGATAAGCAAAACCTACACATTCAGCTTAGTTGTGGCTGCCTAGCCTGAGATGAGGCAGGTGTTCTGTCTTAGCCCCTTCCTCCCAGCTTCTTCCTTCCCTGAATCAGTCCCTTAGCACCTGCCCAATGAGCTCAGCCTGGATGGCTGAGAACACATTCAGGGAAAGAACTTAGCAAAACAAGGATCCAGGTCTGCAAGCAATAGTTTTCCTAAGGTTCAGGCCTCCAAATAGGATCTTCCTCTCTAAAGGAAGGATGATTTTAACTCTGGACCTCTAACTCCAGGGTCCAAGCTCTCATCTGGAGGGAGAGGCTCCCACTTGAAATAGGGAAACATTTCACCTAGGAATAGGAGATTTCAGAGGCCAATCCAATGTAAAGGTAACTCTGCCCAGAAAGCTAGGCAAGTTCTGACTTGGGGAGAATCTCTACCTACCAGAAAGAACCTCTCTGAAGTGGGAGAAAGAACTCACCAGGAAATAGGATGAGGGGGAGGGCCAGGGTTCTCATCTGAGGGGTTGTCTTAATTAAGATACACTCTGAGCTTGGGGGAGGGCCCCATGGAATGCAGCTCTCCCCTGGGAATAGATTTCACAGGGGGAATTTTAGGGGTGGTGTGTAGTATATCTGCAAAGCTGATCCGGGAGAAACCATCATGGGGGGGGGGTCCCACCAGAGGGGCAGGAACTCACCTGGGAAGTGGCTCTAACCTGGCTCTCCAAGGTGGAGGAGGGAACAGAGCAGGTGCAAGAAAGATCCTCGGAGATTCTCGGCAGTGCCTTACTCTGTGAGACCTTAAAACCTCCTCTCTTCTCCTAGAAGATCACTCAAGTCTTTGCAAAAGGCTTCCTCCCATCACCATGCCACACTCAAGTCTTTTCAAAGAGCTCCCTCCTCTTACCAGGCCACACTAGCCCAGAGGACAGAGCTTAGATTCTTAGCTCCGCCCTCTGGGAGGGAACAGAGGGGCTCCCCGCAGTGCCAGAGTTCTCAGTTCCTAGCCAGTGGGCGCCCTGCTCCACTGGTCAGACCACCGTCAGCCAGCGGTCTCTTGGTCCTGAGGCAGCGCAGCTGGCATGCCTCTTGGGCCTGGGCTCCTTCGTAAGCAGCAACCTCCCTTGTTAGCCCAAGGGCAGCACTGCAGTGGCTTTCGGTACAACCCTCAAGAGCTAAGGTCTTGCCAGCTCTCGCCCTCATCCCTTGCTCTAGAGAATCGCCTGCCGGAAATTGGCAAGGCGGGTAAACCGAGGCCCTGTAGGCGAGAAATGACTGCTCGAGACTTGGTGGTTCCTTTTCAGAACTGGCCCAGACCAGTAGCCCACGCGGGGGTCACAGGACCGCTAGCGCTCAGCGGACACGTAGAATTCGGGCCGCGCCCTGAAACTCACCCGGATGCATCCAACATCCCCATGGCCCGCTAGTAGCTCGGGTGCTGCAGCTCGGATGGCTTCCCGCGAGAGGCCACTGCCGGCTCGGTGAAGCCAGGCCGGTGCGCCAGTCCCGGACATGAAAGATCTAGTTTAGACCAATCAGAGTTCTCGGGGGTGGAGCCTAAATCCGCTCTCTTGGGTGGGGCTTGCCTGGAGATCGTGGATTTAACCCTTTTTTCCCTAGTCACCTAGCTCGTGCTACCCTTGATGGCTTGCTAACCCTCTACCTGGAGGCCAGTGGGAGACTACAGAACTGGAATGAACAACTTCTGCCCGGCTTGCTCAAGGTCGAGGCTCCAGGCCCTGAATGGATGGAGCCGGTTCTAAATCCTGGCTTTGTAGAGGGGCCCAATGTGGTGAGAAGAGAAAGGTGTGAATGATCTGGATGCCTGGGTTATGTGGCCAAAGGCCACAGCCTTGACTATAGGAGATTCAACCTTCTCATGCCTCCATACTGGGGGCATCACTCTCAGACTTTCCCACTGAGACCTGGCTTTCCTTTCACCTCTGGCTACCTAGACCAGAAATGGGGAGCTGTGAGGATCCCTTCCTCCTGTAAATCCAGCCCAGACACCAATCCTAGAAGGGCCTTTCTGAGGAACCTGCTGTGGGTAAGGCAAGAACCTCAAGGGCAAGGCCTAGGTTTGGTTTGACAACTGGGCAGGTCCACAAATGCCAGGCCCAGAACATTAAGGAAGCCCTTATATTACTCCTAGACCGAGATGAAGCCTTCCTCTGGCACCGTAGGCCCATTCTGTGCTCCAACTTCAGGCTTCAATCACAAAGTGAGGGGCCATGTTTCAGAGAGAGATGGGAACCTGGTCCAAATCTGTCATGAAGTGGGCTAAAAATAACTGGATATTTTGGAGGGAGGAGGTCTCAGATGCCTCTCAAAGGTCATTCTGGTGTGAATCATTCATAGCTGCCACCTTCAGACACTACCCGCTACAGAGATAGACAACAAGTGTTTTCTATAGAAGTTTATTCCCAAAACAGAGCGCGGCTTCACGGAACAATGTACACAGACAAGAAAGAGGGCCACTGTGCTGGAGGGGGACCCCAGAGAGGGGCAGCTACAGAACCTAGGACATAGCTAGGACACTCTCCCACCCGCAGCAGGCCACTCAGCCCTTCAAGGGCTGGGATCACTCTGGGTAAGAACAGCTGGGTCCTGGCTGGTGGGATTTGGCACCAGTCAGTGAAGTAGGATTTTTAATCTTGGAAACTGCCTCCCAAGAGTATGCATGGGGTGGGGAGGTATCTGCACAGAATCCCAGCCCTGCACACCGATGTTCCAGGTGTCTGGAAGGCCTTCTCCCGGGCTTCTTGGTGTGCTATTAAACAGACTTAGCTGACCTTTGGCCTGGAAAAGGTGGGGTTAGAAGTCCCCCTCAAGATGGCCAGGTGCAGGGTCATCACAGGTGGGTCCTACAAGCCCTCTCCTACTTTCCCTACCTTTTATTTGTAAACAAAGAGGGGAAAAAAAAACATTCTAAGCTGTAAACAAAGTGTAAAAGTTCAAGGTTTTAAGCTATAAACAAAGTAAAAAAAAATTTTTTAAATCTTGACCTGTAAACAAAGTAACAAAATTTTAAAGTCCCCAGTTCTGGACATTAGACAAAGTAACAGAAGAGAGCTTTGTGAACAGGGTCCTAACAGTCATTTTTCCCTTTAGAAGGGAATAATAGAAAGGCATGGAGTAGTCACTGTTGCAGCCCGTGCCTGAGGCCAGAAAGGATCCTGTAAACTGCAAGAAGTGGCACCTACATTCTCGGTCTTGAACTCCCTTGTTTCTGCTCCTTTTTTTACCTCCCACTCATCCCTTGGAGCAATGTAGGGAATCAAATGGCACCATGGACAACTGTTGCTCAGGCAGGGGAAGGGGAAGGGGCAAGGGAATGGCCCCTCCACCCACCCTCTGCAGGAATGTCTGAGTAGAGACCTAAGACCCTTCCCATGGGAGAAAGGGAAGCCTTGCTCTGTAAACATGACATCTGCTGCTCTACCAGCACCCACAGCATCAGTCCTAGGTCATAAGGCAGTAAGTGGCAGGGACTCCATGTAATACACATACACATCCACGGGGGGCGGGGGAAGGAGTGAGCGGCATAAGCCCTCATCAGGGGTTAGAAGACCCCTGTTTTCCAAGATCAACCCCCAATCCCGGAAGTTTGACCTGTGGGACATTCGAGAAAATACAAAGATCAAATCTGTACTTTGGGCCCAGATCATGTTCAGATCAGAGTGGGAATGGGGAGGGAAGGAGAAGATCTGTCTCACCTGTCCACTCTACCCCATAAAATGAGAGAAAAAAACATATGGTTTGCTAAGGACCTGCACCTCTCTCACGACCTCTTTCCCCCCAGCCCAGCCTCAGACCCCTGGGAGACAGAAAAGCTGAAAAATAACATAAGCATATCTCTCTGGTTACAAAGGTACAAAATGTATAAAAGTCCTCCCCTCAGTTCCCACCCTCTGCACCTGTCACACGCATGCTCACAGATGCGCATGGGACCTCCGCACTGCACTGCACTGCAATGAGAGAGTTGAGGGGAGAACTTGAAGAAGGCTGCCTTGAGATCAACCCAAAGTCTCTTCTGGCAGCCGAAATCTTCTGCTGCCCTTGGCTGCTCCTCACCAGCTTGCCAGCCCCTCAAGGGGCAAGGGAATGGCCCCTCCACCCACCCTCTGCAGGAATGTCTGAGTAGAGACCTAAGACCCTTCCCATGGGAGAAAGGGAAGCCTTGCTCTGTAAACATGACATCTGCTGCTCTACCAGCACCCACAGCATCAGTCCTAGGTCATAAGGCAGTAAGTGGCAGGGACTCCATGTAATACACATACACATCCACGGGGGGCGGGGGAAGGAGTGAGCGGCATAAGCCCTCATCAGGGGTTAGAAGACCCCTGTTTTCCAAGATCAACCCCCAATCCCGGAAGTTTGACCTGTGGGACATTCGAGAAAATACAAAGATCAAATCTGTACTTTGGGCCCAGATCATGTTCAGATCAGAGTGGGAATGGGGAGGGAAGGAGAAGATCTGTCTCACCTGTCCACTCTACCCCATAAAATGAGAGAAAAAAACATATGGTTTGTTAAGGACCTGCACCTCTCTCACGACCTCTTCCCCCGCAGCCCAGCCTCAGACCCCTGGGAGACAGAAAAGCTGAAAAACAACATAAGCATATCTCTCTGGTTACAAAGGTACAAAATGTATAAAAGTCCTCCCCTCAGTTCCCACCCTCTGCACCTGTCACACGCATGCTCACAGATGCGCATGGGACCTCCGCACTGCACTGCACTGCAATGAGAGAGTTGAGGGGAGAACTTGAAGAAGGCTGCCTTGAGATCAACCCAAAGTCTCTTCTGGCAGCCGAAATCTTCTGCTGCCCTTGGCTGCTCCTCACCAGCTTGCCAGCCCCTCAGGAATGACCCTCACTTCTGGGAACTCTGTCAAGTTGAATGTAGAAATTAAGGGTCATGGCTGAGAGAACCTTTGCCTCTCAGCCCACAGCCCCTTCATGCCCACTCCAGGGTTCTGAGTCCTTTGCACGTCCCTTCTGGACCTCTACTCCCGAGACTCATCAGCAAGGCTGCTTGGCTGCCGAGGTCTCTTAGCAAGTCACCATTTGTGAGACAGATGTGTCACAAATATCCATATCTCAAAGAGTTTGTTTCTATAGACCCCTTCTACAGATGAAGATGCTGACTCAGAGCAGCTTGTACTGTGCCAATGTCACAGCAGATGAGAGACAGAACTCACATTCCATGTGACTCCAGCCCGAGTTCCTGCTCGGTGCCCTGGCACTTCTGCTACACAGCCAGACCCCAAGGCCAGACTTCAGGGGGGACCCAAGTGGGTTATCTCTCTCCTCTCTACCCCTAAGCATCGCTCCAAAGCTCCAGGTTCCCCAAAATCCTGTTTCCCAACATAGTCCTGTTCAGTCCTCTTGTCCCCTGCCCCACCCTCTGAAGTCCCTTTCCTTCACAGTCATCTCTCATCCTACAGATATAGCCCAGAACCTGAGCTAGCAGCTTCTCCCTTTTTAAAATTTTTTATTTTATTTTATTTTTTTGAATAAACAGGGTCTCCCTGTAGCCCCAGCTGACCTGGAACTCGCTATGTAGACCAGGCTAGATCCATCTGCCTGCCTCTGCCTCCTGAGTGCTGGGATTAAAGGCATGCACCACCACACCCTGTTTTAATATTTTTTTTTAATTTAATGTGTACAACTGGTTTGCCTGCATGTATGTAAGTGCAGCCATGGAGGCCATAAGAGGGTGTCAGTTCACCTGGAACTGGAATTATAAAGGCTGTTAGCTGGGAACTGAACCTGGGTCCTCTGAAAGAGCAGCCAGTGCTCTTAATTACTAAGCCATCTCTCCAGTCCCCTGTATCTCCTTGAAAAAGAACTCTCCTATTGGCTTACAAACCTGGCAACTCCATGGCTGAGTCCTGCTAACTGAATCTGGAAACAGCTCTTCTCTGATCCCCCCCATTCCTCCTTGGATTCCTGTATATCCAGTTACTTCTAAGTGTCTCTGACATTCTCAGCCCCACATGTACCCCACATGTACCAGGCCTCACACCACAGTGCCCACTGATAAGAGGAACTTAATACTGATGGAATACAGCAATGAATGGATGATTTATCCTCAAAGTTAGCTCTCAGTCTTGTATACCCTTCTTTTTTTTCAGAGCTGAGGACCGAACCCAGGGCTTTGCATTTGCTAGGCAAGCACTCTACCACTGAGCTAAATCCCCAACCCCAATCTTGTATACCCTTCTATCCTTTATGACCTCTCAGGCAAGACTTCCTCTCCTCAATGCCTCTTACAAATGCCACATTATTTTGCAGTTCTGGGTCTTGACTCCTGCCTGCCCCTTCCTTTGGGCTACTTATCTGGGATGAGTGAGGAAGGGGAAGGTGGCCCTAATCATATAGCCAGCAAGTCCTGGCTAGTCATAGTCCCATTTACTGCCAGATTTGTCCCCATCCTGTGGCCCCCTGGCTATGTTGAGTCTGGTGTAGCTCACACCTGTCTGCCAACCCCCACCCCATCCTG